AAGAATACAAACGTGAAAGTGGATTATTTTGGCTTGGCGCTGTCTTCAGAATGGGTGCGGCGAGTGGTGCCATAACGATGTATTTTCTCATCAACACATTTCATCTCTTCAAAAGTCGTGAAGTCTGTCGATCTTACTGTTAAATCGTTCTTTTGGGTTTTTTTCTTAACGGCATATATTTGAAATGCTTTACAAAATTTTGGACTTTTGTAATTCATAGGACCGTAATATAATCGCATGAGTGTTGAAAATAAATAGTTAATAAATGCACTTTGACTCGAAGAACTTCACAGACATGTCGATGGACTTCTCTTTTGATTCTGTCACGGATTCCGATAGAAGAGTGTGGAGTGGGTGTGGATGAGAAGCAAAAAAAGAGTTACCCACACCCACATCACCACACTCACACCCTACTCCTCATGCTTTATCTTATTGCTAAGGATACAGTTACCAATATTCTCGATTAGATTGTACAATCAAAAATCTTTTTCATCACCAAATTCAAACAGTGAAGGCTTGAACAATCATTATATGATAATCCTATCGAAGTAAAGCATAGCATTGTCCATAGTGAGTTGCAGAATGGCAAATATTTTTAGATTAGGGTGTGGGTGTGAGTGCTCTTTTTAGCCACAGCCACAGCCAGACCCTGGAATGATTATATAAAAACCAATCAATACTTGACAGTTTGTCAAGTATCTTTTATTGTATCGAATAAAAAGCAAAAACAAATCATGATTATCGTTAAAAAAAACAGAATCATGTTTATTAGAGAAAGAAAGTTTATGCTCTTTTTATTTTCTCCGAGTTTTGAACTGAACACTGCTCAAAATGCGTTCATGATCGTTAATCACATCGAGAAAAGTATTGTGACTAATGGCCGCATTCATTGCAGCATTCGTATAGAAGCGCAGACATTGAACTAACATAGGTCGAAGAATAAGGCAATCTTGTTCATTTGTTATATCCATTAATTGAATTCCTAATCGTTTTAATACATTTTGAGAACGTTGAACATCAAAATCTGCGATTAATTCAGCCATTTTTTCACGTATCTTGTTATTCATAGGAGTGATAGTTTGTTGATTATAGTTGATGGCATTTGCTTGTTGCTGATCATCTGTGGAATAAAGTAAATCTCGGAGATGTCCATCAATAACCCTTGGTATAGCATCACGATATTTGTATAAGAAATGACGTCGATATAATTCTTGTACAATAGCATATCGAAGTGATTCATCAATATTATCGATACCGATAGCATGCATGTAACCAAAGAGTGTCATCATACTTGGAAGTTGATTTTTCGTTCGACCAGCTGGACTATCGATAAATTTTTGTAAAATATCATTTCCTTCGCCCAGATATTGACGTGTTTGATCAAGTAATTCATGACAAAGACGTGTATATTCTTTCAAAATAAATTCTTGTCGTTCAGATGCATTTGGTTCACTGTCATTCATCATTTGTCCAAGAATTGAATAAAGACCTAAGATTTGATTAGGTGAGTAACCAGCAATATCAAGTGTAAATAAATATCCGAGCATGGGTTCTAACATAACTTTGACACGTTCAAAATGTGCATCACATATGTATAATGGCAAAAAAGCATTGATTGGTTCAGCAGCTACACCACGAGTAATAACCGATGAATCATCTGTAAGTACTTGTTGAACAACATTTCTAGTTGCTGTAGACTCGATCGGTCTTCGTAATATAAATCCACCATGTGGTTGAGCTTCTTTATCAATATCTAGTTTCATTTTGGTTGCATCATCACATGCTGAACGCGACAGAATACTAACTGAAACACTTTTGATTGAGATCAATGTTGGAGTATCGACGACCAATTCTTTGCGTTTCACGACAATCCCAATACCCATTATATCATCACGACTATCTACCATTAAATCACGACAGTTTTTTAGAGTTAAACAACAAGTAAACATTGAGAGATCGACGTTAGCAAAATCATTGATTGGATCGAATTTTAGTGCGTCAAGTTTACCATCAATTAATTTAAGATTCGCCATATTTCTTACTGCTCTTTGATCCATTCGACGTTGACGGGATAGTTTTGAAAATCTAGATTTCAATACAAATAAATTCATCAGTGATTTGAGATGAAAAGAATAAATTACAAAAAAATAAACTTACTTGTCAGCATATCGAAGATCATTCATTTTTGCCAAAGCAGATGTTTGATTAAGTGTACCACGTGCAATATCTCCCATAATAGTATGCATCTTATTAAGACGTGCTTGAAGTTCAGCCCTAGCTTCGACTGCAGCTTCACGTTCGACTCTGTTACCAACCAAATTGTCCCCAAACATTTCAATTGCATTTAATTCTAATTGAATTTGATCAAGTTCTTGTTGATTGGTTATGTTCTTGGCACGATTTGATAAAGCTTTTATCGAAAAAACTGCATTAGCTTGTTCAAATGTTGGCACAATACGATGTTCGTTGGCACCAAGTTTAACAGTGACAGCTTCTTCATTCTTTTCATTCAATGAAATCCAATATTCGGCATCAACATATTCCCCATCAATAAATTCACCTGTCATCTTGATTGGATCTGTCATATTGACCATTTTTAGTGTCAATTCAACAGTAGTACCAGCAAATTCGAATAATTCACGAAACTTTTCGTCTAAACCTGCTGATCCTTCAGCATATCGATAAACACCTTCATTCGAACCTAATGTTTTTAATGTATTCATCATATTCAAATCATGAGCATTTGAATATCCAATAACATGAACAATACAATTTGAACCACAATTTCTTAAAAATAATCGTAAATTATTTTGTGCACCAACAATTGCGTCAGCACGATTACATGTATCACATCCATCAGTCATAAATATAATAACAACTCGTTTTCCACTACCGACACTTTGTACTGTTGTTCGAACTTGTTCAAAAGCTTCATATGACATATAATTAACAAGTAGATTTATGACAAAATTAGAAATGTAATATATTACCTTTTATGAAATCGGTATTTCCTTCAGCTGATATTCTTGCAAAATTTGATAGATTTGTCACCGATACAGTACTATTGTATGTTATTACAATAGGTTCACAGTCAGCACCATATTCCTGTTGTTGAATTATTTCTTGAATTGCTTTTGCTGCCGATTGTACTTGTGTCCATGGACCTAATTATCAATGTATTCAAAACTAAAAGTTATGTTTTGAAAAAAAAACTTCTTTTACCACCAGCCATTGAACCAGATCGATCGATAACAAGAATAATACGTGAACGACCATTATAATCTTCTCTCTTGTTTTCCAATGGAATACGTAATTTCACTAATGATGGATCATTACCACCTGATGAAGTAATTGTACAAGTAGCCATAACAAAAACTGATTATCGAAACAATCACCGACTGGATCTATATATACCAAGAATAAATACATATTGCATGATGCAACTTGATTACTGCAATACAGTGTCCAAATTTGTGCCATCAAATGAAAATTAAGAGTATGACGTTAGCTTACACAAAAGTCTTTCATCACATTATGAATTTTGCATCATGTAGTTATGGTTATTTTCATCAAAAACAAGCTTACTCAACAACCTGCAATTCATGATTCACTTTTATATCGAGGGATAATTCTCACGTTTTCAGCAGGTTGTTACATAATTCTTATACGTCCATCTTCGATGACATTTTATTGGTTTTATTTTTTCATTTATGATTATTGATTAATATGAAATTTGTTGACAAGAACATTGTATAGAAAATTCTTCTAACCTGGAACCAGTCACATAGATCATCATCAAGGTTCTATCGAAAATATCTTTGAAAATTCAATCTATATATTGAAATACACTACATATCATCGAACCAAAATAGAAATATCAATTTTTCAATCGTTATTTATTTTAATTTATTATATATCATAAAAATTGTTTTTTGATATGACAAATTATTAGAAATCAATGGAAGTCAACAAATGAGTTTGTTTTTTCTTAGAGAATTCCAGTTATCTTCGTTCTTTTCATATCAGCAATAGAGTTACACTTGTTGTTGACTTAACCAATATCATAATTGAAACAATAACGGGCATGAGTTGTCTAGTTCAAGTCAGAGATGTCCATCGCGGCTGGAAATTTGCCGCTGCCGCACCGCGATGAGTTTAGAAACTTCAGATCTTACCGCTGCCGCGCCGTGTCGCGATGCTAAAGGAACAAAATGTACCGCTACCGCGACGTTACTACGTCGAATATCAGTATGTGACGAAATGGATAAGAATCATGAGTTTGTTAGAGCTTCAACTGAAGAACAAACAATACAGCGAATGACCGAGAACACCTGAACACTTGAAATATTAAATTAAATAACGGGTGATGCAAAAGTTCTGAATTAATTTTCTTGTCAGTATAGCGTAGCAACGAATCGTTATAGAGACTTGATCTTTTCTCGTTGGAAAGAGCTAAGTGTCTAATACAAAATGGTGTAAAAAATATTTGATTCAAAATGTTTACCAAAAACTAAAAAGCCTTAAGAACACGTTGGACTGGAAAAGTGCCTTTCAACTTCTGGAATTCAAAAGAAGAAATTCCATCTGCAAAGAAAGTTGATCTTTTTTTCCGGCTTTTATCGGGTTTTGTAGCGCTACGATCAGGCATCGTAAACGCGGAAAAATAAGATTTTCAAGTGACCGGTTGAGTTCGAATTCAACATTTTTCTAACATCTTTTGTTAGTACAAATTTTTCACAGCTAATAAATGACTTCGAAAAATAATATTTCTTCCAACATCAAAGTTAGCAGAAACTGCCTATTTTATATACAATTAAAGCTTATTGAGTCTTCTATAAAAGTACGTTATATAAAACAGAATTCAGCTTTTCTGTTAGACATCGTGTGAAAACTTTAATTGGATGTTCTAGACGAAAAATCAACTTTTTAATGAAACTGTTTCCTTTGAAGCCTGTAGTTTTGTAACTCGAATGTTTTTGTATGATTAGGAAGCCCACGTTGCATTGGTCAGACTCACATATACCGTGCTTCCAAACGTCGAAAGCCGAGTGCAAAACAAATTAAACAAATGCATTTCTCATCTCTAATTTTGAGTTAAATTGAAACGCACTTTTTCGATACAACTCATTCTCAAGGCTTTTTTGTTTCTAGTAAACATTTTGAATGAAATATTCTTCCATATTATTGTAGTAGACAACTTGCTCTTTCTAACAAGAAAAAGATTAAGTCTCTATGAAGATTCTTTGCCATACTATACTGAAAAGAAAATTAATGCAAAAATGTTGCACCAACTGTTAGAAATTACTATATGGATCATATAGAATACTGTTATTTCGTCTGAATAAGTGATATTTTAGCCTGGTAAAAGCGAAAGATTATGGGAACTTTGAGAAAGCAACTGACCCTACGGAAGCATAATTTGATATACGCATCAAGTACTTGAGAATCTTGGCAAGAAACTTAGGTGCTATAGATAAATCTTGAGATCTATTCAGCTGGAGCGGATGAAGAAAAGTTCGTCTGTTGTGACTATTTAGTGGTAAGGGAGTGAAACGATATAGATTACAATATTTGAAATAAAATATCGGAATGTACCAATTTTATGTGCATTCTAAGTAAATTTTTTGTATGTGTTTGAAAACGATGTTTATAGTTTCGTAAAAGAAGAATCTTGATAAGTACCAATCGAAACTTTAATTTTAACTGTTCTCTATCGATTTCTGTTGTTAATGAAGATATATCGATAATAACTTTATCATTCGTTGATGGTGGTGAAAGATCAACACTAGTCATTCAAGGTAATTTAATAGCACATGTAATATTATACTAAAGCAAAGACAAAAATCAAATTCATTATATCCAGAAAATAAATCAAATTCTTGGTCACGAAAAATTAATTTGTAAATAGAATAAGATGGTGCTTTGTTTTGTGGATTGTGCCAATCATAATAAGTTGACTTATGAACAGAAAAACAATTCACTCTTCTTCACTTTACTAAAATGACTGTAACATAGTTACTATGTCTATTCTGTTTGTATTTGCTTTCATTCGTTACATCGTTAATCTCTGCTATCAATACTTATTCATGTCTCTATCGGTTATTTTACAATAAAAAAAATGTCACGAAATGTGTTGAAATTTAAGGATCGAATAGAAAATTGGGTTGGATTTTCCTTTGCACGAGAATTAGAAATAGCTCATTTCCTTTTTTCGAGATATATCTGACATTTAAAAACGTTTACACCTAATAATGCTTCGAACATTTTCGTGTGTATAGTCTCTTATGTATATAAATTATAAATGGGGTAGAATATGAATTCTTGACAATCTAGTAACATGCTCCTACATAATGTTATCATGTAATTACATGATGCTGACCTTTATATTTCTATTAGACGATTAAAGTGTAATGAAAACATACTCGTTGAGAAAAAAATCGGTTTACTTTGAATCATAGTAAAATAATCTACTCAAGTATTAGATTTTCTTGGAAAAAACGGAAATTTCAACCGCTGCCGCGACACACCGCGACGGTAAAAAAGAAAACTTGCCGCTGCCGCGCCGTGCCGCGACGATAAAGGAACAAAACTTGCCGCTGCCGCACCGCTACCGCCATGGCGGAAGCGGCGCGGCAGCAGTAGCGACAGCGGTAGCACCACCATGGACACCTCTGGTTCAAGTCCTAATATAAATGAGTCTCGAGAAAATGAATGCTACTTAGAAAATAAATAAAAACAAAGATTCCAACCAGTACTGCACTAGCCATAAAGCTAAAGTCAAAATTTTATTTGAATTATAAATTATAATGAAATCGCAGGCTATTCTATTCATGAGTTGTGGATGATCTGTAAGGAATTCTAGAAGGATCTCTGAGTTATCATGACAGTGTCTTGAGATCAATCTGTTAGAATATCTAGGAAATGTCTTGGTGCCTTGATTTGATCTTCAGGAGACCTAGTGAATCTACAGTAAATGTTCGAGTGTCTTCAAAGGAGCTGAAGTGATCTTTTTGAGGCTCTCAGAGTTGCTACGTGGGATCCTGCATGTCTTTAAGAAATTCTTCTTGTAGATACTTTGGTCGGTGTGGTGCGCCTGGATATGCAAAGGTATGATACGTCTCAACAATATCTCTGTAGTTCAAGTGGCATGTTTTGACCGTCATTGATTAAATTGACACATAAATGGAAAAAAATCCCTTCTGACTCATTTTGCTGCAACATAAAGGCAGCGGGAAGTTTCTCTGCTAATAATACGCACCAACAGAGAAAAAAAATCATTAATCAAATTTGTCTTTCTTTCTTTCTGTTTAAATTTTCTAGGATTTTGTTCGTTCTTTATCTGCAGTTTCATTTAACCTTTTTCGTCTGCGACTACATATTTGCTTATTTCAAAAGCGCCATTTTAACCTCGTCTGTATTCTTTCAATATTTATGAAATATAAGGGATTTTTATTTGCATATACTATTGAAACACACGCACAGACACTATATTCATTATGTTTGAAAGGTTTTTTACGTATATGAATATGCATACCTATTTATCTTTATTCTACAATGGAAGTCCAACGAGTTTTCGTTATATATCTGTTGAGTGCAGATTTTAAAAATTATTTAATCTCAGAATAAAAAAATCGATAACTATTTTGCAGTTCACCTGACACATAATTAAAACTTATATTAAAAATTAATGACCAACAGCATTAACACAAGCTATCAAAATCAAATAAATTATATCATCTTTAAAATAGTTTAAAATCAGAATTGTCACAATTTTGAGTGACACAAGAGTTAATATTTTTATTAGATAAAAACTTTACAAGAAATCTCTTTAGAGAAATAATAAAAAAAGCAAAATAAGTTATACAAAATATTGAATTCAACAAGTTAATTAATGATTAATTAGATTATCGTTGAGATGAACGTTGTCATTTATATATAATAATAAATAGTAATTACTTGCTCAAGTGAGTTTTATGCACTTGATTATTCGAATGAATCAAATCTCATAATTGATTTGACGACAAATCTTTACTTTTAAATCGAATTGGTTTTTGTTTTCATTAATTTCAATGTCAAAGAAGATTTTTATAGATGAAAACAACAATTGAAATTTTTATATTGTTCTTAGTAGATTTTATCAAAAAGAAAACGTCAATGATGAAGAGAATATTAGATGACTTAAATGGTAATGTTTTATATTTTTCTTGTAATGTCAACAGGAGGGTGTAGGTGTGGGTGTGGATGGATGTGAGTGTGACACGGCGAATTCAATTTCAACTGACGTCCAGACCCAGATCTGCACCCAGATCTACACCCACATTCACACCATAAAAGTAGGACCTGATAAAAAATGTACAGATCTATTAA